CAAATAGATATATGGATGGACTTTGGCCAAAAGAGTCTTTGCTAGAGTAACACTAGTGTGTCTTTTACTTTCTATTTGGAAACGGAGATTCAGTGATTAGATTATTCAGTACAGTGTTTTTCGATCCGAAACATCTGAATCAGCTCAGTGACAGTTACAGAAAAAAAATCGCACAATGAAGTCACATAGAGTCAGTTATTAGTGCCGAAACGGTCTTAGCATAAATGGTACCTACCGCTATTCGGTGTTATGGTTTGGCCTTGGTTAAAAGGCAAGAGCGTAGCCAGAAATGTTTCAGTGGGCTGGCATGGGTGTCACACCACTTCAGTGGGTGTTGGTCACAAGTGCGCCATAACATCCCCAGTCAGGGTTTCATGTCATAAAATGTACACGTGTCCAGAACAATGGCCATCATGCTCATAATCACGCAGGAACAAGTCCAAGTAAAAAAAAAAAAAAAAAGTAACATTTTGCTGAGCTTGATTTACTAGTTCGTGCCATTTTCTTCGCTGTCACTTCGCTTTTGTGTACTACTTCATCGTGTTCTTCTAGCCAATGCACTGATTTGCTATCTTATAGCAAATCAGAGTGTCCAATTGTCACAGACGGCTGACGCCATGTAGCATATTGACCAATGGCCCATTCATTCAAATCATAAAAAGCAGTATGTGTGCATTTTGTTGAATGAAACTGTTGACTGTGGATGGTATGACAAACAATGACTTCGCAGCTGTTTTGTTTGCTTGCTATCGTGCGAAAGTAAGCAATTTGACACACATGGATTGTAAGAATTGAATTTTCTTGAAGACAGATTCTCTGACAGTTTGCATTCAGATCAATTGGCTAGTTATTTTTTTAAATATGCAGGTAATAAAAATAACTTGTGGCGGAGTATAGAAGGGGGTCTAAATGTACTGCATCCATGTGAAAACCACAGAAAAATCACAGGTTTCAAAATTTTTCCCACAGTGTCGAGTGGCCAGAGAGTGACAAGGAGTGGCCAGATGTTTTTTTGTTTGTTTTTCATTAACTATGCAATTCCCTGAACGATGAGGATACAGTGTGAAATGAATAAAACGAATTCGATTTGAGTCGTAACGAAAGCAGGAAGCACTTCAAAGGGATTTCTTTAAGCAGACGAGGCCACTTATGGTGAAACACCTCACCTTCGGGCGGTGGGCTGGATCAACACACGAGGCTCTTCTGCTCAGGCATTTCCTCACGTTCTTTTTAAGGTCATTCAAACTGATTTATGTGTTGTACATTATTCGGCCTTTTCTGTGCTATGCTATTGTTGTAATTTTGTCAAGAATGTCATTATTTAAAGAGACTTTTCACATTTATAGCATTATGTCATATTTTCATTGGATTATTTGGATTTTATATGGCGGATCGTTTTTTTTTTTTTTTTTTTTAAATCAGTTTTTCTTTGCAGTTTCCATAGTTCAACGTGTCTGACAACTGTTGTGCACTGCTTAAACGAACAGTGTAATGGAATGGGCAGAATACTTAAAATGAGTAATTTCGATTTGGGGCTGGAGGGGAAAAAAAACCCACAAAATTTATCATTAGGCCATATTGTAGCCATAGCAGAAAACCTGGCACGACATCCCTTTATTCGGCTCATTACAAATGTGATGATGTCAGCGTCTGTTGTGATGTATAAAATACTTGTCGGGCATTGCTCTGTCAACACAGCAGGGCGGGAGTTGTGCGTGTCGGTGTGTGAAATATAACAGCTCTGTATTGGCATCACGGAAATTCCCGGACACACCGATGTCGCCCCGAACGGTTCTGCTACGAACTCTTCTTCTAGTTGGCAGTGCGTGGTGGCATCTGCGGCCTTGTCATCGATCCCACGGTCCAGACCTGTGCTCTGTCCCCCAAGGTTAGCTCTGTGGAACATTCTGGGATCAGGTCCCACAGAATAGTGGCGTGTCAGCAGCCTATTCAAACAAACGGGCTGATGGTAGCACTATGTATGCGGAGCCGGGAGAGGGGAGGGGGGCTGGACTGCTAAAACTGGTTCGGTTTGACCAAGGAGGGTGACTCCATGAAAGGTCTGGATACGTTCTTGGTGTCCCCACAGTCCGGCGTTTTGGAAGTGAAGCGGTCTGTTGCTGGGAGAATTAATCATGAGCATGTATTCATAGGAGTGAGAATATTAAGTCTGATACGAATTGACATGTTCTTTAAAAATAGCCACAAGTGTTAAAAAAAAAACACTTCCACTTGAATATTGCATTACAATCCATCTAATAAGATGAATTGATGATGTGTAGTAGGGATCAAAACTCATGAAAGGCAACATATTTTTTTCTATGTTCCGTATGCGGCATGTGTTGCGTTTCAATGTTTTGCAATGGTCAAAATCTAGCAAAACCTGAAGAAACATTTTTTTTACGAGGGTGTTTGGAATGTCACAGTGCACTTGTTTTTTGTCAAATCTTTTCAATATAGAATACATTTGGAACTTCTGTGTTCTGTCTTGAAATGCGTCAAACTCATTCCCTACCAGCCGTTTTCGCCCCGAACGGTTCTGCTACGAACTCTTCTTCTAGTTGGCAGTGCGTGGTGGCATCTGCGGCCTTGTCATCGATCCCACGGTCCAGACCTGTGCTCTGTCCCCCAAGGTTAGCTCTGTGGAACATTCTGGGATCAGGTCCCACAGAATAGTGGCATGTCAGCAGCCTATTCAAACAAACGGGCTGATGGTAGCACTATGTATGCGGAGCCGGGAGAGGGGAGGGGGGCTGGACTGCTAAAACTGGTTCGGTTTGACCAAGGAGGGTGACTCCATGAAAGGTCTGGATACGTTCTTGGTGTCCCCACAGTCCGGCGTTTTGGAAGTGAAGCGGTCTGTTGCTGGGAGAATTAATCATGAGCATGTATTCATAGGAGTGAGAATATTAAGTCTGATACGAATTGACATGTTCTTTAAAAATAGCCACAAGTGTTTAAAAAAAAACACTTCCACTTGAATATTGCATTACAATCCATCTAATAAGATGAATTGATGATGTGTAGTAGGGATCAAAACTCATGAAAGGCAACATATTTTTTTCTATGTTCCGTATGCGGCATGTGTTGCGTTTCAATGTTTTGCAATGGTCAAAATCTAGCAAAACCTGAAGAAACATTTTTTTTACGAGGGTGTTTGGAATGTCACAGTGCACTTGTTTTTTGTCAAATCTTTTCAATATAGAATACATTTGGAACTTCTGTGTTCTGTCTTGAAATGCGTCAAACTCATTCCCTACCAGCCGTTTTACCACAGTTTGACTGATCTTTCAAGCCTTCCAGATTGTCTTCTGTGAACCTCTTAAAATAAAGAGTAGACTCTATTCTTTCCCCAGTGAAAAAAGGTTTTCCAGCTTTCTTTTGTTCTTCAGTAATTGGTAATAGAGGGTGTGTGTTTTTTTTTTTCTTCTTCTTCTTTGTCCCAGCCCTAGTTGGATCGTAGTTGACGGCAGCAGTGAATGAGTCAAAAGTAGCCTCAAACCCTATTTTGGTCATAGTTCTGCAAATTTCTAATTTCCATCAAATGTAGGATGCCTTGTAATCTTTGTGCAATCGTGGGTGAGTGAGTCGCTTTTTTTTAATTTCCCGGCATTTTCTCGCAAATATTAAGACATGATTAATCATGCAGTGAATTTTGTAAGCAAGGTGCTTTCCGAGCAAAGAGCTCTCACATGGCCAATGGGCTTTTGCAGAAACCAACTTCACTTAGTCTGTCAGGAATGTCAAGGCAGGATTTGCACCACCTTGCTCTTTCTCTAAATCCCATGACGGGAATACAATTCCTTTTGTTTCGTTTCCAAATGCAGATTACAGCCAACCGAAGCTCTGAAAATGTATGTTGGCACCTCCGAATCACAGTGGCCAATTTGAAGTCAACCGATTTGATTGCCCCAATGACGTGGGTTGTGTCAGGAAAGGCCATGCAACATAAAAACTGTGCCAAACAAATCGTGCGAGTGACTCGCTGTCGCGCCCTCTGATGGGACAAGTCAAAAGTGGCAACAACTTGTGACTGCCGCTTCAAGTAAAGCCTTTGTTGCCGTCCACTCGTGACCCGAGTTGGTCAACTATACATTCCAGAAACAGCTGATTCAAGATAAAATCACGTGAATCATACGTTTAACAGAAGAAAGATTGAAGGCTTCGTACGTGAGAGTACAAAGCTTGATTGACTTGACCTCGCGTGAACTTCAAATTCATTTGAAGCAACGCCGTGTGGACGGGGGAACAGCCTCTTTGACTTTCTCTTTGCGTGCGCGTGCGTTCGTGTGTGTGTGTGTGTGTGTGTGTGTGTGTGTGTGTTGGGTGTTCACTCTTTGCTGGAATATGGGTGAGATTTGTCATCTGCAAAGAAAGTTGTTTTAATAACCTGATTCACAATCAATATGTTGATGCGAATTCATAAGTGGGAACATTACAGGTCTATAAAATAAGTATATATAAATATAAAACATAAGCTCTAAACTTTATTGAGTTTTGGTTAGCATCTGGATAAAAGTGCAGACCCTCCCAGATTCGTTTCTGTGTATTGTCTTGTACGAACCAGGAAGCATGTGATTTTTTTTTTTTTTTTTTAAGTGCAGTGTAGAAAATCAAATCTGTTCCTCCTTGCATTTTATTGTTTATTCTTGGCTGTGATCCTCAAATACTCTGAAGAACTCCAATCGTCAGCCATGCGTCTGGGGGACACAATGACAGCAGACTCGCTGACTTATGCTCGGCTCGCGATTGATGCAATTGATAACAGTTATCGAGGTTATTTACACATGGATAGTATTGACTGCTGCTTGCTTTTGAATTCTCTTGCTGACCGACACAGCAGCACCTATTGGGGGCACACGTACATTTTTCAGTCAAAAACGATGAATCGTTGCCTCCCTAGATGTGATCAACCTTCATGACGTGTGTTGCGAGAATTGTGTCAATTGATTGATAGTGGTGACATTTTTCCTTTTTTTTTTTTTCCTTTTTCATTCTAGGTCCTGTCATCACAACCATTGATCACATTTAATGGAAACCAAGGGGTAAGTCATGGGCCCACGCATTTGTTTATCTGGTTGCACGTTGTCACTTTTAGATCGACTTATGAAAGAACTTTTTTGTTTGTTTGTTTGTTTTGCTTTGAACATAACCACATGATCATGTCTGGCCCGCAGCGATGTGCAGAACTACTCTATCTTGCACTTTCCCCCTGCACACTGTATCATCAAATTTAATAACGGTTTATTATCGTATACACACAGGCATGCTGTTGGATGTAGGGATGGACATTTGACTCCATTTCGAATGTCAACTATGGGGACACTGAGCAAATTCTCATGTTTTATGTCATACTTTGAAGAAGTTCAAAATCAAACTTCTTGACACTGAATCAACAGCGCGTCTGCCGCGAGCAGCCACAAAGTGAACTCCATTTTGCCTCAAGTGCTGCAAGACACTGTTGACCGACTCGTTTCGCAATCGGCAGCATTCTTCACGATCAATGAATCGTTTCTCATCGTCATCCCGATAGCTCAGGGGTGTCAAGCTCATTTTTGTCGCCGGCTACATTGTCGTCACGGTTTCCCCTCGGAGGGCCGTTATGACCATATAAATGTTTAACCACCTCCACATATTACATACACAGCGCACAACAAATCGATGGAGAACTTGTTTTGAAATCAGAAGTCAAGAATAATGGCTGGTTCAAACATTGTGATTATGGATTAGACATGACAATTTGAAATTTTGGTTCAGACTTTGGCAAGCATCATGGAAGTTGAAATGCTTGATTTGCTTTTTGCGGGCCACATAAAATGATGTGGCGGGCCAGATCTGGCCCCGGGGCCTTGACTTTGACACCCTTTAAACAGTATCGGCAAAGTCACAAGGATACGTTGCCATTACTGTTGCGTGGGCAGTCATTTAAATTGCGCCACGTAGAGTCCAGACAAGGCCGAACAAACCAAAAGACAATGCGAAAAAACATGGCGCGATCCAACTGCCTGGATATTAACTACAAAAAGCAATATTCTTACACTCGCACGTATACTGTATTGAATCCTTCCATGCGCCACTCCACCACAAAGCAAAGTGGGAATCAAGTGTGCCTCCTTCAAATAAATGCCTCCCATCACAAAGAATAAAAATAAAACCCTTGTTACCATCGATGGCCTCGTTTATGCACAAATAATGAAGAGTTAACCGCGTTAGCCCATTTGGGCTTTTGTCTGTGCGATCCTCTCATGGGTCATGTTTGTCATATGCCCAAATCAGAGGGTTGGCCACATGTTCTTGATTGGATGTTTCAGTCTATTAATGCATCCGATGCCCTTCTGAAGTGACGCAGCAGACTCACTCCTTTCGGAAAACGTGTTGCCGCTGAGGTCAGAATGTTCGGCGCAAGTGCGAAAGTGGCTAAATGACACAGCAGATGCTTCCATGACACGATTCCAAGTGTTCACTCTCAGCTCTCGACTGAGCTCACGCACGCACAGCAGCATGTTTCTCACATGGCGGAGGCAAGAAAAAAAAAGTGGGGGGGAGGGATGAACGTGTGTAATCACAGATGTCTGAGTCGTGTGGATGAGAGGATCCGCTGGCCTTGAAGGGGCACTCGATTGGTGTAAACATCGGCACTGATGTCATATGTCTGTAAAAATGTCCCTGCTTAATGGCGTCGACACCCTTTAAAACTCGCATGTCAGTTTTCTTACGTATTGTGTTTATAATTTAGCCTTTATCGTTAGCATACTCATTCCTTATAGGTTGGAGCTCAAGTTATAATACTCATGACGGAGATGAGTGCAGAATATGAAGAGATGAGTAGAAACGTTGGCTTTGGACTCTGTCACGTAATCTTTTGTGTCCGGTATGCATTCCATTGCATCTCCCAAAATATCCAACCCAAAACCATTCCAATTTTTTGTGTCATGGTAGTACAACTCACTGTGCTTCTGGAAGGTGGGGCTAGACCAGTTGTCATCGACAGAGAATTTCCCACTTTACCGTGTGGAGTTTATTTTATGAGACACTGTCTTGCGACCATGCCATGATGTCACACTATTATGGAAACGGGGAGGAGCCCAAATTAAATGCCAGTCATCAGGGATGCTTGTCAACATTTTTTTCCCCTACAAGCCACACTTGATATTACAGTCATAATAGTCGCCTTAAAAAAAAAAAAAAATTAATTGTGGTTCATGATTGATCCGCAAGTGAGTCGTGAAGTGAATCGCTTTCTGTCTTTTTGGAACTTTGACAAGAACATGTCACTCGAACACAATCCCAGAACATTGTTCACAATGTCGCCCAGTCGTCCATTGTTGCTCTACTTCTGTGTCTCTTGGGTCATCTCCGTGGCTTTGAATTTGTCCTTTTTTTCTAATGAGTCCATCCTGAAAAGAAGTATTGTTTTCTTGATGCCAAGCAGAATGAAAAGATGAGCAGACTTGCAGGCACGACAAAGCAGGAGGGGAGTGTTTGGGCAGCCTGTTTAAATCCACTTGTACCAGTAGCCAAAGCTATAAACGGGGCATTGTTTGTAGACAGGAAGTGCCTTCACATTTGGCGTTTTAGTAATGTCTTAACACTCACCTCATCTGTTTTGTGGTTTCAGTGACGCAAAGCACTTGCAGTGCACTTTGCTTCTCGTCTGGCACTAAATCAAAATTGTTAGCTTACCCTGTTGCTGTGTCTTAGCTCTGGGTGCCGCAAGATTGTATTCCTCAGTCTCGATTTTGCTGCACTACTCTATTCCCACGAATATGCCTCCGCACCTTACCTTTGGCCCCAAAGTAAATAGTAGAACGTCGCTTTCCTCCGTTGCCGCTTGCTAAGCTTTCCGGTTCCAAATAGACAGCATTGAGTCAGAATATGAGTCCTGAATTCAGTATTGGAACTAATTCTGTATTTGTGCCTCCCTTATTCAAACATTATTTTTATTTTTTTTTTTGCTTGAGCAACAACTTTGCAAATTTTCTGAGGACAATGCAATTCTGACTTCTCTCTTAACGCCCGGCCATATTCTGACTATTCACACTTACAAATTGTACGCATGTGATGAGTTTGGGCCTGCGAGCCATTTGGTGTGGGGGAGCCTCGCTCTCGACTCATTCTTTACAGTGAGTCACTGAGTCAACTGCGTCAGTCCTCTGCGGCTTCGCCTCCCTGCATCACAATCGTTCTCACGTCCATCTCCTCTTGGCTTCCGAGGTCTCCGGCTCAAATTGTAGCATTACATTTTATATCCCCTATAATGTATAGCTGCGGAGCCGCCAACCAACATTTTCTGCCAATAACGCTAAATTACAAACCTGTTGTGATTTATGCGTTTGCACTCACTGGAGTTTGTTTTTCTGTTTGTTTTGTTGATCAGTGGAATTCACGTAAAACCAAAGAGAGTCGTAAAATCATAGACGTCCCAAAGAAAACAAGATTTGTGATATTTTTTTCTGTCGGGTCCCTGAGTGGGCCTTTACCTCGTATTCATTGTAAGCACGTATCAGCCAATAAATGTAATTGAAAAGCAACTTTTTGCTGCTCTTTATGGTCAGTACAAGTGGGTGTTATAACATGTGAGAGTGGAGCAAAATGGACAGGAAAGAAAGGGCATGTATTCATAGTGGGCCACCTGCAGGCTTCACACGTGTGTCAGGCCCTTCGGCAAACAGAGCTGAGCCGCCTTCCTTCCGACCGCATGTCGGCACCGTGAGGGATGAGGAACATAACGTACATAATGGACTCAGTTAAAGTTGTCTCCGTCAGAATTTCACTTTGGAATTCATTTATTGCCGCCACTTCAAGCGACAAAAAAAGCCTTAGAAAAAGCAAGACTTGATTTTTGGATGTAGAGCTGCAACTTTGGAATATTTTTAGAACACCAAGTTTGACCAACTATCCCATCAATTAATTGAGGAATTGGAAAAAAAAATATCGATTTTGCATTGTTTAACATGTGCCACGTTTTACATTGCCATCTCTGTGCTTTTGAGTGTGTGTGACTTTAAAAGGCGGGGTCTGGTGAGTGACATGTGCGTCAGCAAATAAGACTGTAGTTGCTTGGTTTTTGGCACAGGTTGGCTAATGGCTAGCTGTTAGCTGGCTAACCGTTAGCAAGTTTGTGTGTGAAGTGACTGGGTCGTATGAGAGAGCATATGAATATGCCAATACCCCACAAGCTTCAAATGTATTTTAAGATTGAATATGACATAATTTTTTTGCCAACATTTATTTCATCATTCCTTATATTATTGTATCACAATAGCATCTTTCTTCCAGATTTTCAGTTTCTGTATCCACTGAACATGTTCTGTTGAGTCACATGTTGATGTTGTTGGTTTTTGCCTCTTGCAGAAAATTTCAATACCACGGTCGGAAAATTCCAATGAACTGCACACGTTTACTTTCTACCTGTCCAACGTGGGCAGAGACAACCCGCAGGGCAGCTTTGACTGCATCCAGCAGTACATCACCAGGTGAGGGCCCCACTCTTGTCCCTTTGTTCAGCCGCTCCGCATCATCATAAAATATTTCCTAAGTCGATGGCACTTTTGGGATATCAACCGAGGAACGATAAGTTTCATCAGTTTTACCTACTGTCATGAAACTGGGTAGGACATCGGGTGAAAAGGCGAGGCTTTGAGCAAGTCAATCGTGCAATGACACTCGAGAGCGTGGAAACAATCCCAGGAGGCAGACCAGATAAGGCGCAAGGGGCTGTAAACAGTTCATATCAACTTCACATTTTATATCGTTGTGAAATAGAATTTACCAAGTCTTGGATTATTCACCCACGATTAGGAAGGAAAGTTTGATGATGCCTTGATAATCAGCTGGTGCGGACCAGAAAAATCAAATGTCTAATTCAGGATGGCACATTTATTTGGTGTATATAAAAGGCCTAAACATTAGGGGTAACTTATTTAATTTTTTTGCCTGTCCTCAAAAACATCATTTTGTACAGTCCTAAATACAAATCAGCGTTAGCGCAAAACCTTCAGGATTCTGCTTGAAAGTTTTTAAAAAAATGTCAGGAAAAGCCTACTAGAACAGTTTAACTTCATTTCGGGTTAATGAGAGGAGCTTTGTGTGATGGTTTGCTTGGTTCATTTCTAACACAGCCACACCCCCAGTAATAAGAGGGAGTGCAGGCTTATGCAATCACATTGTTGCTGGTCTTTATTTTGTGCTTCTTCTCTCTAAAACAGGTATTTTTTCCAATTTAAATTGTATAGGCTAGAAGTCACAAATATGGTGGAAAAAGTTTTGAAATGTACTCTTGGTCTTTTTTTTTTTTTTTTTTTTTACATTTGAACAGGGGTGTGTGAACTAATTATATTCATTGTACATCCACCACGGCCAGACAAATGCCAAGATACCGAGAGACAGGCCAGTGAAACCGCAAGTCAGTAGGACGACTCATCCTTGAGCCCTACAAATTGACCTCCGGTTCTATGTTGTCAAATATCGTTGACCTTTTCCACACCAAAGTACATTGACACGCTCTCATTGCTGTCCCACTGTGCAAAAAAAAAAACTAAACCCTCAAATGTGAATCAAATAAAATATGAACTGAAGTCAAAACCAGAAAGGAGATGCACTCTGCCGAGTGTCAAAACTCTCTGTCCCTGAGCAAGTGGAGTCACGTGTGAGTTGAACCACATCTCGGGCTGGATCCTTATCAGTGCGCCGGGCGTCCATGTGAAACCATAAAATGACAGCGCTCGGCCCTCTTGCTGCCGCGGCATCTCATTTGCTGCCAAACTATTAAAATGGACGCACGAAAGCGGTCAGACAGAGAGGCATTTGCTGTGTTCATGTGGAGAAATCCAGACATACGGTAATTGGGAAAGTAATAGTTGCACCCAAAACATGTCCGGAGTCAAACTGTCTTTGGTTACAGTATAAAACTTGTCGTTTATTTAAATGTTTTGTCAAGAATAACAGCCCCCCACCCCCAATTGAATCTTTGAGTCACCCCGCCCTGTTCTTCCTCTCTCACGGTCTCTCTTCTTTGTTTTGGCAGCGAGGGTAGCATTCAGCTGGACTGCTTGGGTGCCATCCAAGACAAGATTACTGTATGTGCCACAGACGACTCTTACCAGAAGGCTCGAGAAAGCATGGCCCAGGTCGAGGAAGAGACGCGCAGCAGGGGCGCCATTGTCATCAAGCCCGGCGGCAGATTTGTCGGTGAGCGGCATTCCTTAAGAAAGACACCAGAAAAAACAAAACGCATCATTAAAAAAATGAAAATATCTCCACTCATGTAGCAATTTTAGAGGAAATTGTGCATGCTGCAACCTCCCAAGCTGTCTTGCCGAATACCACCTACACTGGAGTTGGAGATTTATTTTATTTTTTTTAGACCACCACCACCATGTGAACAAAATGGTGCACCCCTCCAAAGCCATAAACTCTAGTGCTGAACGCACAAAAAAAAGAGAAAAGATGCCTCAAAAGTCAACAAGTTCAAATCGCCATGTGTGGCATCATCAAATCTCATGAGACTTCAGTCAGTGGGCATCTTCAGTCGGGTAAACACATAGTGATTATTCTCTATGATGATCGTATGATGTGGAGTGTCTTCAGAAGAATTATTGCTCCCCGTTCTGTTTGGAAAACAGGCGAGGTCGACAATCATTGCACGAATGGCATTTGCTTATTTATTCCGCTTTTCTGGTTTGTTTTTTTAAGACACACAGAAGTATACCAGCGATAGCAAAGAACAATATGAACAATACCCATTTAGGAAATATCATTTATGCGACGACACAAATGTTCAAGTCTTGCTAAACTGCAGTGTCATTCCGAAATGCAACCCATCATCAATGTTTGTGGCTCCTCCTCCTTTACCCTTCAGGCAAAAGGGTTCAGATCCGGAAACCGGCATCGGCCCTGTCCGACGTGGCCCCCTCGCGCAGGACCTCTCGGCCCGTCATCATCTCCAGCAGCGCGGTCAAGAAAGCGAGCGCTCAGCACAGGCCGCTCCGAGAGCGCCTGGTGCACCTGCTGGCCCTCAAGCCTTACAAGAAGCCCGAGCTGCTCCTGAGGTTGCAGAAAGACGGCCTCTTGCAGTCTGACAAAGACTCCCTGGACAGCCACCTGCAACAGGTCACATGCGCTCTCTGCTGTAACTGGCCGACTTCGCTTCTCAAATCCGTCCTTAGCGCTGACCTCTTTTCATTTAATAGGTGGCAAACTTGAATGGGAAAGATAATACCCTCACATTGAAAGACTGCTTATATAAGGAAGTTCATAAAGACTGGCCCGGATACACGGAAGGAGACCAGCAGCTTCTTAAGAGAATCTTGTTCAGGTACGATTGCCTTTAATTGTAACGCAGTCATCACCATCAATTTTGTGTTGGTTGGCAAGATTGTGATTAGTTTTGATCATACACCTGATCCGGTAGTAATTTTCTGGATGCTGATAATCTTACAAGACAGTTGTACTATTGAGATAAAGGTTTTGTTTTTTTTCTGAGAAAATTCATACTATTAGAAGTTATCTTTTCCTTATGGGCCTTCGTATTCAGGCACACGGGTTGCTCGAAATTGATTTCCTCTGCTGACTTCACATTTACTTCTATTTTCTGCACGGTTATTAGTTATTATTAGTTTTGTCACCGAATGACTAGCAGACATTCTTGTTGGAACTCTCGCTTCAAAGCGAAGACGGTACCAATCTGTACTTTAAAAAATTGAGGCTGTCGTGTATCAAAAGGCAACTAAATGTCATGGATTATGCAGTCACATTTGACATATTGATGCCTAATTATGGCCGTTTCGAAAGCACCCTTTGTACAGTATGTGGCGCCTCCGAAGAACAACTTGTGATATGTTGCCATCCGTGCAATGGATTAAGTTTATTGACATCATGAGCTGTTGGCTTTCTTCCCAGTGGAAAAAAAAAATCTGGTTCCTCAGGATCTGCTACAAGGAAAGGCTCGCTTCCATTTGGCTATATATAGATCAGGCTCAGCCGATCACTAATGACTGAATTGAACGGGATAAGCTTGTTTGTGATGAAGAAATGCTACCGTAATAATATCGAGTGCACCGCTTAACCATTTAGAAAGTGGAGCGGAGACCTCTGCAAAGCCACTCAAATTTTATACTTCCTGCAGCACAAAAACATCCGTTACCACCAACATCCTAAACTTTTCACAGCCCCCAAATTTTTTTCTTCACTTGCACATTTTCGAAGCTAAATTATTCTCACTTAAAAATATCAAGAGTTGCTTGTCATTAGACAGACGACTAAAGCTCAGAGATGGCTGACTGGAGGAAAAGACCACTTTGAGGGTGTTTTTAGTGACAAATTAGCAATTTAACTAAGGGAAAAGTTTTTTTTAAAAATAGGTTTTGAGAAAATTCTGACCCTTTTAACTTGCAATATCTGCATGTTTGCTTATGAGGTTTATATTCATGCTTAGAGTGCATCATTAGTGGGTTGCTCCCAAAATCTACTCGCAACGCAAGCACACCCACACATCTACTTACACACTCTTCACACCGCTCCGGCAGCTATCAGTCACATAGGACGCACGCAGCAACATGACTGTACGACACGTGATGCAATCGAGTTCCAGCACATGCTGATCTCTGTTTTCCTGGTGTGTGTGTGTGTGTGTGTGTGTGTGTGTGTGTGTGTGTGTGTGTGTGTGTGTGTGTGTGTGTGTGTGTGTGTGTGTGTGTGTGTGTGTGCATCTTGTTTGTGTGTTTGTGAGGTGGCAGTAGTCCAAGGTTCAGCCATGTCAATTGACCGGCTCTATTCGAGCCCCCAGCACACACACGAAAACACCCACAACGCTTGGGTCACCATGTTAGATTTTGTGTCCAACTGCCTCCCCCCCCCCCCTCCACTGACAATCAGCTGTGGCTCATTTACTCTGTTATGTCTAGGAAAAAGTACAAAAGCTGAATTCCACAGCAGCCGACTTTAGTTATCTGCTTGCACCGTTTGATCGCATGAACACAGTTCTTGTCCGACTAGTCGCAGGTGGGGGGAAAATATGGCAGGTCACTTATTGGGAATGAATGTGTTTGTTCTTCCAGGAAACAGTGCCAGTCTCAGAACAATGCAGCTCCTCCACCAGAGAGCCCGCCCAAGGATTTAGCCAGCAGCTCACCGTCACAGGTGAGCATCCTGCTGCCTTCACACGAAACACATTCAACACTTTGCGGGCCATTTACTGTGTGCCATGATAACATTTAATTTTGGCTATTTGTCATAAGAAAAAAAAAACATTTTAGAGCCTGAAATTGCACGATTTTGTAAGGTACCCTTGTCACGGTTACCTTTTCACACAGAGACCCAACCAAATTAGTGTATAATAGCCGTAGCCGTAAATACGCAGCAACGTGACATCCAAAAATGCTAATTTAACGTGTGACAAAGTCAACATCCGATGAGTAAAATGAGTCCAGCAGGGAGGCAGAAGTCAGCGTGTGGGAGTGAAGGAGAACTGAAATGGCAGTTAGACAGGCTGAAAATGTAGCTGTCAAGGGCTGTGTACTTTTCACAGAATGCAGCAAAGTGGACTATGGCGGCAATACATTTAGCTTTTACACACAAACACTTAGATGACATCGGTATCTGTTGTGGTATATAAAACACTTGTCAGCCGTTAACAACTTCATTCAAATGCATTGCCGGTAATGTGTCTTTTGGCATTATTTTACCCAAATTATGAAGTAAAAGTAAAACTGCTAACCCTTTGGATTTAAAAGGTCAACACACCCCTGCTCAAATGCTAGATTTTTGTGACATAAAAAAAAAAAATGAGACTAAAATCAATTATTGCAAAATATTTTGTGATCTATAACCTGTTCAGATTGGAAAAAGGAAATCTTTAAAGGGGAAGTTGTCACGTGAGGAGCAGAATCTGGACGCAGAAGTAAACATGACACAAAAGTGAAAGTCTTCACGAAAATGGCTAGATGCAGAGGACATGGAAAAAAGCAGACGTTCCCACTCGAAGAAAACTTGACATACTGACCACGTGTCACAGAATAACCGGAGCTTATTATAGATCCCGAGATATCAGACCTATACGAAAGAATAAAGGTGACCAGAAGCATAAAAGGTCCACAGCAACTGCATAGCAATTTCCGAGCAACTGATACAACACGGAACAACCAGTCAGAACGGCAGTAAAAATTAACAACTGCGATAATGTGCTTGCACAAGCTCTTATAACTGGGGATGTCTGGGAATCACATTTCGACTCATGTTATTTTAAACGGGAGTCAGCACATACACTTGTCACCATTTAAAGTGCTTCTGATTAATCCCGAATAAAGTTCAACTTACTAACTAACAATTAACAAACATCCTATTTGTGAATCTGTTGTTGATATTGTGTCATATTTTTTTTTCTCACAGAAACGTCCTGCTGTAGACTTCATCGACCCCTTGGCCAATAAGAAGCCGAGGATATCGCACCTTGCCAGCAAAGCTGCACCAAGTCCTAACAATGGCAAGGTCAGCTCATCCAACGGCAAAGCGGAGGCGGGCGGCGCGCAGGCAGGACTCGGCGCTCACCTGTCAGACAGCGCCCTGACATCCAGCTCCCAGCCCCTCGCCATGCTGGATATCCCCCGACCGTTTGAAGCGCTATCAGACGTCAGCAACGACTCGAACCACAACGGCAGAGACTGCGACGCCCAGGAAACAACAGCTGAGAGGCTTTCCCAAGCGCCTTCGCTTCCTCCAGGCACGACCGCGCGCCCCGCCAGCGCGTCCCCAACTCCGCTTCCGCGTGACCGGAGTCCGCCAGCCGCCACCGGTAGCAAAAAGCCCAAGAAGAAATCCAAGAAGCATAAAGACAAGGACAAGAAAGATAAGGGGAAAGCCAAAGGCCAAGAGGAGAAGGAGAGGAAAAGTCCACACTCTGTGGCTGAGCCTGTTAGGACCTGTGAGATGAGCCCAGAAAACCTCAAAAGCAACAGTATTCCACTCAAAAGCACAAGTAAGTAACAAGTGTTCTCCTCCTGGATTCGACGGTCCGTCAAATGCAGCCTTCTTTTCCCCCTTTTTTTTTTTTTTGGAGCAGTGATTGCATCGAATGATCATCAATTTCACTAAGATAGTCCAAAAATTATTATTATTATTTTACAATTAAGGGATCTTTGTTTATCCATCTGTACTTGTGACAAATAGTGACCGTGTTGCCATTCATGCATACTATAGCAACCTGGTGTTCAACCAGGCCCAGATTCACATACTGAGTCAGTAAATTGAAAACAAGATCATTCATTTTTCCGTCTGCATACTTTGTGTGACACTTTACATAATTTCAAATGTGTACCTTGACTCAGTGCAGGTTGGCAAACGCTCGGAGGATGCTATCCTTCACGAGTCCTGAAAACGTGATCATGTCACACAGCAAAGAGAGCGTTGATTTATGCTATGAGCTTTTTTATGTTGCAGCTTGACAGAGTTGCTATACCGACTCTTCCCAGCACCCCGAAACAATCTTTTTACTGGCCAAATAACGCATCACATTCAATCATGCAACCTCCGCAATAAAATAATAAGAAAAATGCAACAATGCATTCTTGTTTGTGACTTCAAAGCCAACAATAAAGCTTTATACGATTGATTGATACCCAATCCATTTCCACAATGCCTTCTCGACAAATTGCGCAACCCAAGTCATTCGCTTGACCTTTCCAGACATAAGTCGCAAACGAACCCTGACAGTTCCCCTCTGCGAAGTGTGCCTGCGCACAGCCACTGTGGCTTCACGCAATCAGATCATGGCGTATGTTTGGGACAGCGACAAAGGGTGTGGGCACGGAGTTTGGGCTAGGTGTTAAATTTCACACTCTGGCTAGTGCCACTTGCCCCTGATACTCCTCTTATACTACCTTGGAATAGGACTGGTTGGATATTGCACTTAGACAGCAAGCTTCTAATGCAACATAGTGGTTGTTGTTTTTGTCATCTAGAGCCAATAGAATTCCATTTAACAAATAAGTCTTTATTTGCGCAGGGTATGAGTCATTCATTATGGGCTGAACGTATATTTACTCTATTAGAAAGTAGAATAGAAGCAAAGCCTTACACGTTGCTTCATAAGTCATCACTGCAAGGGATTTTCTTTTTGTGTGTGACTCAGTCTGAAACAGAGACCTCTGCTGGCCACTTGGGCACACTGATCCAGCCAACCTGATACTACTTAATGATGCATTACTGAAAGCTGGAAATTTCTAAACTATGACAACATGGAACATACCATTCAAAACAACAGGCATTAAAATTAGTGCAGAGCGATATCCCTTGTCCATAAATGTATTTGGTAAATTGAGCCATTGAGACATTGAGTGGGGTAACTCCATTTTTGTTATCTTCTGGGAGAATGATTAAAAGTTAAGATATGTGGCTGCAGTAAAATCTGGGGGGTGGGGGGGGGGGTTATTTCATTCCCTGTCATTCAATTATTATTTTTACAGAAGTTGTGGTTCTCCTCAGGTTTTGCCATTTACTAAATGTAATGCTTTTGCACTTGGATGATATTGGATATATTAGTATTGGATAAATTAATCCACCACTGAAGTACTCTCATCAGTCTCAACAGTTTAATCTTCATCACTATCATCTAGATTGCCTCAAAGAGAAAAAAAAGGGTTTAGAAACAAGATGGCTCAATATGGGTGGAAGTCCAAACAAAAGTCAAATGCATTTGATATTTCATGAAAGTTGATAACATTCCCTTGAACTCTCAGGGAAATACACTGGCACCGGCGGCCATTTTGGAAAATGTGAGTTGGCACGATGATGCGCTGATGAATCAGGAAAAGTGCAGAGTGCTTTAAAGGTCTGCTCACTGTCTATCAAAATTGCAACCGACTGTTGAGTTAGACCAGTATTCAACTGAAACCGCGCATTTTCTCTTAACAATGACCAACATGGAGTTTGAGCACTGTGACGCCAATATCCTTTATTTAAATGATAGAGGCTGTCAGAAAAAAGAAATGTTTGTTGTTGCAGCTACGATTCACACAAAACAAACTAAATGTCCAAGACACACTAATGTCTGTTCTCTCACATGGTTGTCAGCCATTTTGTTTGCGTACGTTCTACAAGACTCTCTTGTGGTTGGACCTCATGAACTCAGTGGGATACTGTTTTTCCAATTAGCCAGCGGTCTTGAATGCAACGTGACACTGCGCTTGTTATGGAGTGTCCCGGTACATGTTCATGTTACTGTCACTGTGTTTCAGCTCTGAACGGGATGTGCAACAGTGCCAGTATTTCATCGTCATCGGAGGTGGCCGACTACTTATTGTAAGTACTTCAATGTTTTGCGTTTCCCCTCCACCCTTGAAGTGACATTTACAGCGGAACATCTAAACTTGCAAACCCAAGAGTTGATACAATTAGGAATTTTGAACATCATATTCAGGGGGGGTGGCCCGTTGGATGAGTGGTTAGCGTGTCGACCTTACAGTGCAGAGGTTCGATTCCAGCTCCAGCCTCCCTGTGTGTAGTTTGCATGTTCTCCCCGGGCCTGCGTGGGTTTTTTCCGGGTACTCCGGTTTCCTCCCACATTCCAAAAACATGCATGGTAGGCTGATTGAACTCTCTAAATTGTCCCAAGGTGTGAGTGTGAGTGCGAATGGTTGTTCGTCTATGTGTGCCCTGCAATTGGTTGGCCGGTTTAGGGTGTCCCCCGCCTACTGCCCGAAAACAGCTGGGATAGGCTCCAGCATCCCCCGCGACCCTTCTGAGGATAAGCGGATCGGAAAATTGACAGATGGATTTTTGGGGGGGGAGGATGCCTCTGTAAAGTCACTTAAAACTACATTTGTGGGATGAGCAGCAGAGCTGCGCATGTGCGTTGCGTTAAAGCAGGGGTGGCAAACTCATTTTTGGCGCAGGCCAAATTTTAGTTACCGTTTCACTTGGAGGGCCGTTATGACTGAAACCATACAAAGAAGTCAAGAATAACTGTTGATTCGACTATTGTTTAAGTTACTATCATGAGGGTTTTGGTAACAAGAAAATGCATAGAATATATCTCTTATTTATTACATATGAGAATTAAAAATTTTGGTCGACATTTTAGAAAGGATCGTGCAAGTTGACATGTTTGAGCTGCTTTCGCGGGCCACATCAAATGATGTGGCAGGCCAGATCTGGCCCGCGGGCCTTGAATTTGTTAAAGGGAATAACAAAGAAAAAAAATACCCAACATTGTGACAACAAATGATCTATCTACCACTCACACCTTTTATTCCATTTTGTGCTACCTGTTTATTATTTCCAACTGGAAAAATAGTGGATTGTGTTTGTCCACTCTTCTTGTAACCGTTTCTTGTAATGCCCCTGCTAGGAAGTACACGGTGATCACGTCTCCAGAGCAGCGTCAGAGGTATAAAAACGACTTCAACTCGGAGTACAGCGAGTACCGCGGTCTGCACGCTCGCATCGAAAGCATCACCAGGCACTTCTCCGAGCTGGACAACGAGCTGAAGAAGTTGCAACAAGGCACAGAGAAGTACAAGGTAGCGTTTCTGTTCGGACGCAAGTAATATCTTTGTGTCACGCCAACATTAAAAACAAGGCGGTGTCGTGTTCTGTGCTTTACAGACAATCCACAATCAGATACTCCAAGAGTATCATAACATTAAAAAGGTACGTTTTTGCCATTTTAACACATGAATGAATGCCGGTTAGAAATATAAATATGTATGCCCTGACCAAATTGTTTATTCAGAGTCATTTGTTATGTGTTGAATGGGTACACTGAAACTGGAAATTTGTACAAGAAAATGGAAAATGACTTGTTGATTTCAATGGGGAAAGACAATTTGAGATGAGTGATTTGTGTTAAGCGTTTGTTCCCGAAATGAATTCAACTCGTATCTTAAGGCACCACTGTAAGTGTACGCTTGTTTTGATTTTGCAGATCAATCCCCATTATAGCCAAGAGAAGAACCGCTGTGAATATCTGCACAACAAACTGGCACATATCAAAAGAGTCATCGGCGAGTACGATCAACAGCAACTCTGAAAATACTTAATTGGATGAGGAAAAAGGAGGAAAAAAAAACTCTGGAACTTTTTTTTTTTTTTTTTTTGCGTTTGGACAAGGATGCTCTCATTCTGGCCAAAGGTTCTCAGAAGATGACTCGAACAAGGACGCGGATTCTTTGTCCTCTCTTTACTTTACATTGTGGAAGATGTCGCTGCCAGGCCTCTTGAG